CCAACTCTCACTTATCTCACAATACGAGGAGTATTCATTGCACATTCGCGATGTTTTCATGCCAATATACGAAGGTACTCTTCCATTAATAGACGTGACGTAAAGTTAACTTATAAGCATTATAACACTATGAGTTCGTTGACGTCAGCGCTGTTCTTCAGAATTACAATAAACATGACATACAGAAAGTTACATACGCTGGATCGAACGAGAACTATGAGCATATTTCTGACATAACTTTGCTCAACTTCACCTGAAATGAATATACCTTAAATGCATATTGTAAATAATTTCAAGCAACGTTCATTCATTAAAATAGGCTCGAAAAGGCTGAAATACTTAATAATCTAAAATCTGGTCTTGAGGATGCTGAATTCAAGACGTTCGACCTGGCAAACACTTACGAAGATGATCATGACGAAAAACGCAGCGATGTACGATGTCCTGGTCATCCTCACCATTTCAAAGCGATAATGCTCACCAGTCACCAGATTTCGCACATAACCTAGAATCTTATGTTTAGATGGAAGGGTGTACCGGACTGATAACAAAAACAAGGAAGCAGAGCTTAACCCTTGCCTTCAAATCACCTTTGCCCTCCTCTTCGTCGGCAAACGACTTTATGCTGGACATTATGATGTCATCGTAGCCCAAGAACCGGTTGAGCAGAAAGCGACTGAATTTATCACCAAAGCAAGTGTTTTTCGATGAGTCTAAATTAAGAACCAATTCTAACTTTGAGAAACCTTCATCAACTCAGAAACATCATTACTCAGTTTAACGACCATAACGGGAACTTTCAGCTTCTGTCTAGCTGCCAAAGACAGGCGTAGCAATCCATACTCGAGCGCATATTCCAGTGCGTAACGGTCTTCATCAAATCCTAAAAGTACCATAATCTTTAAAACTTATAAAACAGCTTGAAGCAGAATGAAATCGCATCAATTTATTATCAACAACTATCGTGCAAAATACGAATTTGTTTTTCTGCACTTTTTGCAAGGTTAAAAATTTTAAGCAATTCTATCCGCCGCTTCGGAGGTGCGGTAACGTAGAATTTTTGGAGCAAAGCTACTCCGTATCCATAGTTTAACGATATCTAATTTCCAGAGTCACCAGAAACTGAGAAAACATCGTTCGATACAAAGCAAAATATATAATGCATAGAAATGAAGTCCTTCATAGTCATCCATCGGCAGATATTGTTCCAACTACGAAACTCAAAAGGTTTATCGACTGAAGATAGGGAATAATACGCCTTTAGCACAACAGAACAATGATGGTGCCGAGAAGAGAGATAAAGATGGATATAGAAAAAATACTGAGAAAATGTGGTTATCATTCACTCTATACTGTAACATAATAGAATAAAGAACAATATAATGATCCGCTGAATGCCGATTCGAATATTTAAGGCTTCTTACCAAGGTTTTCTATTCCTCAGACATCTGCTGGTCCCTTGGCCACTAACAACCGATCATGTTTTTGGTCGCTCCGCGCAGCTTCAGTTCGTTCTTCTTATGAAGTTACTAATTATTAACCTTTCCCCATTTGGATTGTCATCATCTGGATTATACTTTGCTTACAGTCCGCTGACCTACGTTTCTGATGATCAGCGAGACGAACACCAGAGTTCGGCACTTGTGAGTTTCTAACAGTTCGCTGGGAACGAGAATACCGATGAGAAGATTTCATATCTACATGAAAACCGCGTCTCTTGAGGATGAATTAGTCAATCGGTAGAGAACCAAGCTCACACGTCGAAAAATCGAATTCTGCTCAGTCCACACTCACTTTTCATTCTCCTCATTAGGAAGTAAATGAATCAATTTCATGATGTATCAGGAAGCAGCAGATTTTACCTAGGGTGGCCGCTTAGCTGAGAAATGCGGTATTTGAGGCACTCCTGGAAATTATGTTAAAATGGGGCTAAACACTACACCATGAACTACACAAAAAGAACCTAACCGCAACAACGATCAACAATGAAGAATAAAAAACTCGAAGCAAAATATCTAAAAACACCCCCTATATCGTTTTCCCTGTCCTTTGCAGCGGCTGAATGAGGTTGAACGTGGAACGAGATGATTTATGCGCACGTAATTCGTCTGGAGAGTGATTCCAAACTTAATGAGCAACCTGACACTAAAAGGTGGAATGTCCTTCTTTCTGCATGGCATACGATTTGAGGAAGTAAAACAATATAACACAGAGGTGATTACATCTTCTATTAGCTTGAATTAATCTTTTCGTTTAATAGCCAAACAGCTACTCGTAAAAGTCCAACTAACATACAGTAACGAGCAACAACAAAAAAGAAAAACAGCTATAATTAAACTTAGGCCCAAGCCAAAATCTGCCAAAAACATGTTACTATCGGTATGCTACATGCCACTGAAGCAGAAAACGAAACTTAGGGAATTTCATAACTGGAAATTGTCGAAAACAACTGTTGACCAATATACTTAGCCCTATGCTCTTCGCTTCTAATATAAATATGAGTCTATGAAATCGTATGATAAGAGGTTAAGGCACCAGTTCTTACTTAGAAATGATGAGGGTTGTTTGCAGGGCTTTTAGCAGGTCATGTTTCTGCAGTATTTTAGCAGCTGCACAGACGCACTGACATCACTTTATTTTAAAAAATAAAAACGAACGTCCGAACCTTTTGAAATTATCGCTTTCATTTAACTCGCTATCATTGAAAGATGTTATTCCTCTTTCACTGTCATCAAGACGAATATACTCTATATGACACAAGAGGCGACGCCCCACTCCTTGCTTATATTCTGAGTCAAGCAGTCGTGTTTATTCTGTGTATCGGTGATATGGACTTGACAAAAACCTTCGTCCGGTTAGCATCATCTATAGTCGGCGTAGGGCAAACTCTTGGTAGTTTGCTGCAGGATTACAGTGTCCCTTACGCAAGAACTTTAAACGAAATTTCATTACGTTCCAATAAAAAAGCAATGTTAAAGCCATTCAAACGCACACTGAAGTAACCGAGGTTTACCGCAGGTCGGTAACGTCTTCCTTGTTTAAGATATTAAGTTATTAGAGACGAGTATAAACGCATAATCTTATAAAATCTACCGTCCAAGCAATGAGATATTTTACATCATGTAATACATTTTACAGAAATACTGCTGTGTGCTGACTGGAAATCTCCTTACGAACACAAATAAACATCCCTTATCTTCTTATCCTCATCCATTGTTTTCTTCAGTCATCAAAGTTCTAACCTCGTACGGTCAAAGGAACGAAAGGCATCACTTTTTTACAACTCCTTAAGCCTATCTTGATTCCACTAATTGACGCAGACTTTTTAGTATCATTAACGCTGATACTAAATGTTCCTACATTTTAACAAAGAATCCCCTAGAATGACACACTGGGTTCACGAAGCGACGAAATGCAACCACAAGAAAAGCTTCTGTCAATCCATTTATAAGAATTTAAAGTGATTAATGAGTTAAGGACATTATTAATTATCAGTTACCTAGAAAAATCCAAATCTTTAAGGCAGATGCAGCATGCAACAAATTATCAATTGTTAACTGTAATTTACTTACCGGCATCGTCATAAAAACCTTCTTCTGTATGGGTGAACGTAGCTTTGGGTTCGCTAGAGAAATCTTCAATGTACACTTCAGTACCGTTTTCGTTATACATCAGGTGATTTGGCGAACTAGAAAACTAGCATAGTAGAATATCTAAAATGCACAATTCAGAAGGCAAAACATATTAATGTTCCAGTCCACCAAAACAAAACCAGAATACACAAACCCTTAACTTTAAACCAAAGTTATATTAATGCGTCAGATGAAAGAAGCCTTCAACGAACAGAATTCACATTCTTGAATTTTCAAAACCGCTTTTGTAGCAGCCCCCCACACCAATATAACTTCTATTTTTTGACGCTGAACCTTTGGAATTGATGTTATCGTTTGCTCCCCCTCGCCCATAGTCTGAGACGCAACATATGACGATGTCGAGACCATTAACTTGGCAATTAATAGTTTTCTTTGCACTTTAGA